AAGTCATTAGATTAAGGACTCACCATACTCTACTATGACCTCATCTTAACCAGTTACATCTTCAATGAGCTTATTCCACATAGGGTCACATTCACAGGTGCTGAAGCTGGGGACAACATGTCTTTTCAAGAGACCTAATCCACACTTTTAATGAGTGAGAATGAAGATTAACAAGTGGCATGTGGGACAGTGTTTTGCATCTACACAGAATGCCCAGCCAATTTCTTTCTTCAAAATACATTTGTCACCCTATTTTGTATTAAGTTTATATGGAAATATAGATCTTCAAACACTTTTCTAAGGTGTGTATAAAATTTCCTTATTTTTATTTTTATTTATTTTTTTTGAGATAGAGCCTCAAGCTGTCACCCCGGGTAGAGTGCCATGGCATCACAGTTCACAGCAACCTCCTACTCCTGGGCCCAACCGATTCTCCTGCTTTTGCCTCCCAAGTAGCTGGGACTACAGGCGCCCGCCACAAGGCCCAGCCATTTTTTGGTTGCAGCCCTCGCTGTTGTTTGGAGGGCTCAGACTGTACAGCTCAGGTGTATGTGGCTGGCGCCTTAGCCACTTGAGCCACAGGCACCAAGCCAAAATTTCCTTACTTTTGTTTAACAGATAGGGTAATCCATCTTGTGGTTCATTTTTGACCTATGAACACAACTCTGTACCAGTTGTCATGCATGAGCCTACAAACTAACCTTCCTAAGTGTAAATGGAAACTTAAGCCTCAGCTAATATGAGCTAATTCTGATTCTGACATCCCTGGGAGTCACTTGATGTCACATCCACCTCACCACCCTTCCTGAGTGTTGAATTTCAGTATTTCTATGTGTTTGGAGCAGAAGGTGGGGCCAGAGTTGAGTGGCTCAAAATTAGGGCAAAGGTTTTTTCCTTATCAGTTCAATCTACTCTTTAGACCCAGACCTGGAATTATAGCATTTTACTTGCTCTTCATTCACTTTTAGACCATTTGCCCTCATGTTCTCACTAAACTGTGGTTGAAATCTAGGGTAGCTTAATACAATGGGCAAATTTCAGATTACATTTGACATCATTTCTCTGCAAATTTTGGTACCTATAACCCCTCCATGGGTTTCAGAATATGGTTGATTATTTTTTGTTTATATGTCAACTTTACTTTTTAATTTTTTTCTTTTTGAATTCTCAGACAACTTGGCTGGATATATGTCAACTTTTTATCCTCTTGCCTGCTAAATGTTGGCACAGAATAGAGTTGTGATTCTTTAATTACATTAAAAAACAAAAGCTAATAGACATTTATTTCATATAAAAGCCAGAAAACATACACACAAATAGAATAGATAAGTAGATCACAAAATTCATAAGGAAATGCAATATTCCCAGAATATTTTGAGAAAATAGAACAAACTTGAAGGAATCACACTTCTTGAATTCAGTTTAATATAAAACTACAGTAATCAGGACAGTGTAGTCCTGACACAAAGATAAAAATATAGATCACTGAAGGTTAATTAGCAGTATAACTATAAATAGTAATGCTTTCAGTCTCCTTCAGACAAGAAACTTTGTAGAAAGTGGATAAATGTATTAGGTAAATAACAGGTCTTTATCCACAAAAGATGTGACCATTTAGGTTTTTTGTTTTGGGAAACTAGGATTTTAAAAGATATATTTCAGGGGTAGTATAATCCATGAATGATGGTTCAGAGAAGACTTTAAAGTTGATAGCCTGGAATTCCAATTCCAGCTTCAGCAATGTTCTGATTCTCTGAGCTTCAGTTTTTTTCTTGGAATAAAATGAGCATGAATTCTGCTTGCCATGACTGTCATGACATTGCATATAAAAAGTGCTAAGTAAATAGTGGCTGTTATAACCCTGTGTTTTAATAAAAATAATATAGATCAATGGAATAAAATTTAGAATACTAGCCTTAAATCCTCACATGTATGATCAATTGATTTGTGATAAGAATGCAATTCAATAATGAAAGAATAGTCTTCTCAACAAATGGTGGTATGACAACTGAATAATCATGTGAAAAAAACTGAAGTTGGACCTTTTCCCATCACATATTAGGCAGAAGCTGGAGAATCAGACAAGGCAATGGTGTTATCCAATCTTAGTCCAAAGGACTAAGAAGCAGGTAGAGGAGTCTGCTGGTATTAAGTCCTGGAGTTCAAGGCCTAGGAACCAAAGGAACTCCAATCTCTAAAGCATCAGAAGATATATGTCCCAGCTCAAGAGGACAGAGCAAATGTGCCCTTCCTCTGCCTTTTTGCTCTGTCTGATGCCCTCAGAGGATTGGATGATGCACATATCAGAGAGGATGATCTTCTTTACTCACTCTACTAATTCAAATCCTAATCTTTTTTTTGAAACATGTTCACAGACACACCCAGAAACAATATTTTACAATTTGGGCATCCTTTAGTCCAGTCAAGTTGACATATAAAGTTAACCATCATATACATAGGGTGCCAAAGGATACACATTTTAAGAAAGGAAAAACTAATATTATGCAGCCCTAAAGAAAGATGGAGACTTTACCTCCTTCATGTTTACATGGATGGAGCTGGAAAATATTATTCTTAGAAAAGTATCTCAAGAAAGGAAGAAAAAGTATCCAATATATATACTCAGTCCTATTATGAAACTAGTTTATAGCTTTCATATGAAAGCTATGACCTAATTATAGTTTAAGAATATGGGGGGGAGGAATGGAGGGGAGGGGGGTGGAAGGGTAGAGGAAGGGAGATTGGTGGGATCACCTCTATGGTTTATCTTACAAGGGTACAAGTGAATCTTTCTAAAAGTAGAACATAAACATCTTAACACAATAACTAAGAAAATGACATAAAGGTTATGTTAATCAGTTTGATGAAAATATTTCAAATTGTATATGTATATGAAAACATCACACTGTACTCCATGATTGCATTAGTGTACACAGCTATGATTTAATAATAATAATAATAAAGAATAAAAAAAGGAAAAACTATATTAAAATTGTAATACCCAGGTGGGCGCAGTGGCTCCTTATGCCTATAATCCTAGCATTCTGCGAAGGTTGAGGCAGATGGATTGCTTAAGCTCACGAGTTAGAGACCAACTTCAGCAAAAGCAAGACCCCATCTCTACTAGAAAAAAAAAAAAAAAATTAACTAGAAAAACTGAGGCAAGAGGATTACTTTAACCTAAGAGTCTGAGGTTGCTGTGAGCTATGACATCATGGTACTCTACCCAGAGTGACAGCTTGAGACTCTGTCTCAAAACAAACAAACAAAAACAAAACTGTAATACTCAAGTGACGTCTGACTTTTGTAATTACAACAGTGGCTCAAATGTGACTTGCATTCATCTTTTGTTATCAATATATATTAAGTATTATAATTTTAATACAGCTTTTTCCTTTCTTAAATCACTTTTTTTTGGCATCCTATGTATATAGAAAATTGACTTGGATCAAAGAACTATATGTTAAAACTAAAACTATAAAACTCTTAGAAGAAATCATAAGTGTAAATCTTTGTGACATTGAGTTTTGTCTCTTAGTAATGACACCAAAAATATAAGTAACCAAAAGAAAAATAGGTAAATTGGATTTCATCAAAATTAAAAATGTATATGCTTCAAAGGAAAAAGCATAAATACAATCTGTTGGATTGAAGAAAGTAATTGCAAATCACATATTGGATATGAGACTTATATCTAGAAAACATAAAGAACATGGAGAACTCAATAATAAAAGACCAAAACCCCAATTTAAAAGATGGACAAAGGATCTGAATGGACATTTCTCTGAAGATTTACAAATGAGCAATTAGTAGGTAAAAGAAAACTCAACATTATTGATTATCAGGGAAATGGAAATCCAAACCACAATGAGGTACCACTTCACACTCACTAGGATGATAAGAAATATAGAGATGGACAATAGAGGTGTCAGGCAAGCAAAGATTTAAGAGAAATCAGAACTCTTTATATATCTGTTAAGAAGTTAAAATGCTACAGTAACTTTGGAAAACAGTATGGCAATTCCTCAAAAGGTTAAACAAAGCTACCATCCAACAAATCAACTCCAGATGTATACCCAAGAGAAATCAATGAATGTATATAGAAGCCTTATTCTTATTAGCAAAAAGGTGGAAACAATCTAAATGTCCACCACCTGATGAATAGATAAATAATATGTGTCGTGGTATATCCTTAAAATGAATATTATTAGGTCCATAAAATCATACATGAAGACATTATGTTAAATGAAAGAAGTCAGTCACCAAAAAAAGCTATATATTGTATGATTCTATGTTTATGAAATGTTCAGAAAAGAAGGAAGTAGGATGGGGGAATGTGGGAGGTGATGACTAAAGGGTACAGGATTTCTTTGGAGGAAGATGGAAGGTGTTCTACAATTGTGGTAATAGTTGCATACCTCTATAAATATAACTAAAACCCATTGATTTTTACAGTTTAAGCTAAAGGCAGGTGCAGGCAGGAAGATAGCTTGAGGCCAGGAGTTTGAGATCAGCCTGGGCCTAATAAGACCCTGTCTCTACAAGAAATATTTATAAGCTGGGTGTGGTGGCATGTGCCTGCAGTCCCAGTTACTCTGGAGGCTGAGTCAGGGGGATCGCTGAAGCCCAGGGGTTTGAGGTTGATGTGACCTATGAGGATGCCACTACACTCCAGGTTGGGCAACACAGGGTGACCTAGTATCAAGGAAAAACAAAAACAAAAAAACTTGCATAAGTCAATTTTGAAATTATTGAATATTTAGATCAGAAAAGTGTGAAATATGCTTTTCCAAGTCAGCGACACCACCGTCAGGACTTGGAAACCAAGAGGACAGAAGGGTCACTGTTTCATAAGCAGGTAACCTCTGTTGCAGAAGAGAGAAAACTCTTAATTCAGAAAAGACCCATTCCTTTTTACCAAAGACCAAGAAAGGGATTTCAGTGGCTAGGGAGTTTTATTGAGAATCCCAGAATTTAGGGGATGGCGCCAGGGTGACTGCTAGGGTGACTTCCAGGGCAATCACCGTTTCCCCGCCCCAGAAAAGAGGCGGGGATGAGCCGGGACCCGCGGTCTGAGCTGGGAAAATGGGCCAGCGAGCCAGGCCAGCCTTTATCCTCCTGGTGCTTTTGCAGACCTTGGTCGTGCAGGGGCGACTGCTGCGTGAGTCTGAGGGCGGCGGGAGAGCAAGCCACGCTGTGGGGGAGGAAACATTGAAACTAATTTGGGAGTTTTCTAACTTCGGAGATCCTGCTCAGCCCCATTCTCTCCTTCCTACTTTCTGTGTCCAGACCCCGGGAGGGAACGCTAGCCACAGAGCTACAGATAGCTCCTCACCCCAGGACCTTCTCCCTGGTCGGTTCTCCTCTGTCCCCGCTCTTGGTGTTACATTTGGAACCACCTACTCCCTCCGCGACAGCTGTCCCCGATTGATTTCTCCCAGTCTCATTTCCCAGTTGCCACCAATTCAGCCTATTTTATTCTTTCTCCCCTCCTCATCTCTCAACTGCTTATAATAGAATTTAGCGCCTCTAACATCTTTAATAAATCTAATAGTTACTCACTAGTTGTGAGCTAACCCCGGGGCTCCTTGGATTCTTTTATTTTGTTGTTGTTTTTGTTTCTAAAGTGTGCACTCCCCTCCCCCTCTCCCGGTCATCCCCAAACGGGAAGTTCTCACTCAGGGCAACCTGGACCCGGGTTCTCGCGGGCAAACCTGAGAGAACCCACAGGGAGACCCACGGCGGGTTCCCACCGCAGAACTAGTAGCGCAGGGCGGTGGGGGTGTGAAGGAGTGTGGCTGGGATCTGAATTCTTCCCACCCCACCTCCTCTTGTTAAGACTTGTGGAGGCCACTGCGTGTGGGAAGCTCCTGAGAGAAGCCTACCTTGGGCCCTTCCGTATTTTTGGAGATTGTTCTTCTTACTGGAAAATTAAGTGTATGTTATTTTTGAACATTTGAATGAAACATAACAGTTCTCTTTTTCAGCCACGCTATGGTGATTGGCAATATGCTGCATAATTAATGGACTTTTTCTAAAGGATGCCAAAGTAGTGATGATTAACATTTAAGCTATAAAATTAGTTTTAAATCACATTCATATCTGTAATCTTTTTTTTGACTGTCACTAGGCATTTGGAGGTAGAAGCTATTAATAGTTTTGATTTTACTAGTGGTTTAATCCTCAGGTTAAGTAACTCTTCAGGTTAAGTAACTCTTCCTTTACAAAGAAGGTAAGAAATCTGATTTTCTGATGTTAAATCAAGTTCTACCACTCCTTCTAATCTTAGCTGACAGTGATTTTGCCTTGTAGGCTAGCACAGTGCTGTGGTTTACATACCTTACCACCTCAGCCTCAGAACACTTTAAGGGTAGGTACTCCGTGTATTCACATTTTACAGATGATAAGAATGAGGCATGGCCTGCATATTGGTAACTATGTTCTATGGTGCATTAGGATTTGGTAGCAGACCAAAACATCACACTGCATTAGAGGCAAAATAATAAAATTTGGTGTTGAACAGAAATAGTCATTGTTCACAAGTGTGAAATGGGTCCCAGTCACATGTGCCACTGTTGTAAGCCCTGGGAAAGAGAGCAGGGAACCAAATCTTTGCCCTCTGATATTTTGCATTCTAGTAGGAGAGCCAACAATAAACAAATGAGCAGAAAAATATCCATTGTCATGTAGTGATGGGTGCTTTGAAGACAGATGAAGCAGAGAGGTCAAGGCCACCTACTCTCTGAGGCTGAACAAAGAACTGAAGAAGAGGGGCTGAGAAATGATTACATTCTGGATATATTTGGAAGGAAATTGCTGAAGGATTCTATGTTGTGGGAGAGAAAGAGAGGAATCAAAATTGATACTATTTTTTATTTAATTTTAATTTTATTAGTCTGAGCAATGAGGTAATTTGTGATAACATTTCTGAGAGGGTGAAGGCAGAGAAAAGAGCAGTTTGGGAGAAAATCCGATGCCTGGGTTTGTACATACTGAGTTTGAATTTCAGTCAGGGATCTAAGTGATGATGTGATACAGGCACTTGGCTATAAGAATCTAGATTTCAGGGCCAGAATTGAAAATTTAAGAGTCATCATTTATTCATTCTTCCAGTGAGTATTTATGATGCATGTACTACATGCCACGTGCTGTTTTGGGCCCTGGGAATATATTTCTGAACTCCCTCACTCTGTAAGTGAGGAAAGGGGGAGTCCTGCTGTGTTTGTTTGGGAATTGTTGCCCTGGGCAGTTTATCAGCAGATTCTTCAGCATTGCGCAGGAAACATTTGCAGATGAAAAGGTTTAGATAAGAAGTGGTTTTAAAAAAGACTCAAAAGTAACTCCTGAGCTCAACTACTGTGGCTGGAGAGAGACACCTTAGGATTTTCTAGACTCTGTCTACTCCAGGGAAGTTGCCTAATCATCAGTAATGGGACAGTGTGAAATGATGGCAGGGACATGTGGCAAAGGAAAGTGCACAAGGAGGGAGCAGCCAGGACTATCATATGGACAAGACTGTGTTGTTGCACTTTTTAAATTTTTTTTTGTAGCGACAGAGTCTCACTTTATCGCTTTCAGTAGAAGGCTGTGAGATCATAGCTCACAGCAACCTCCAGCTCTTGGGCTTAGGCAATTCTCTTGCCTCAGCCTTCCGAGTAGCTGGGACTACAGGCGCCCGCCACAACTCTGGGCTATTTTTTTGTTGCCGTTTGGCCAGGGCCGGGTTTGAACCCACCACCCTTGGTATATGCGGCCGGCGCCTAACCACTGAGCCACAGGCACCGCCCTGTGTTGCACTTTTCACAGGGTGAGGACAGCCGGTGGTATGAATTGTCATGTGTGGCACCTCTGCCTCCCAGACTTCCTCTGCTGCATGTCGTGAAGGCCTGTTACTCTCTCTCCAGGTTCTCACTCACTGCACTACCTCTTCATGGGTGTCTCAGAGCGAGACTTTGGTCCTTCCTTGTTTGAGGCTTTAGGCTATGTGGATGACCAGTTGTTTGTGTCCTATGATCATGAGAGTCGCCGAGTAGAGCCCCGAGCCCCGTGGGTCTGCACTAGAACCTCAAGCCAACTGTGGCTTCAGCTAAGTCAAATCCTGAAAGGATGGGATCACATGTTCATTGTTGACTTCTGGACTATCATGGACAACTATAACCACAGCAAGGGTATGTGGAGGGGGGCCTCGCCCTCCTGAGGTCTTTGGAGCTTTTTACCACCTCAGGATGCATCTCAGTGGGGAGACCTGGAAGTCTGAGGTCCTGGGGGGGCAGGGAAGAAGGAAGACATTTGCTTCCTGAGACCACTTGGTCCTTGAGGTTGGTGGAAACTCCTTTGGTTTCAGTAACAAACTGGGGGTGTTTCTAGAGTCCCACACCCTGCAGGTGATCCTGGGCTGTGAGATGCAGGAGGACAACAGTACCAGGGGCTTCTGGAAGTATGGGTACGATGGGCAGGATCACCTTGAATTCTGCCCTGAGGCACTGAACTGGAGAGCATCAGACTCTGGGGCTCAGGCCACCAAGCTGGAGTGGGAAGTGCACGATATTCGGGCCAAGCAGAACAGAGCGTACTTGGAGAGGGACTGCCCTGAGCACCTACAGCAGTTGCTGGAGCTGGGGAGAGGTGCTCTGGACCAGCAAGGTATGGTGGGGCAGAGTGAGGAGGTTACAGGGCCTGGGATCCCTGGCTGTGGGGTTTCAGAGGTGGCTAAGGTTGCGTGACTCTCTAAGTTCTGAAAAGAAATTTTTCTCAATCCTGGGTTCTCCCCTTTATAACTGAGATATATGACACAGCCATAGTTACGGTTTTAATTTTTTTTCTCCATACATATGGCCAAAGAGAAAGTATCTGTTGCCTTTTTTTTTTTTTTAATTTAACCAACAATCCTGTGTATATTTATACTGTTGGGAATTCAGATATGTCAACTATCACATGAACACCAAGATAAGAAAGTACAAGTGAGGACACCCTAGGAGTAGCAGATTTCTTTTTTTTTTTTTTTTTTTGAGACAGAGCCTCAAGCTGTCCCCCTTGGTAGAGTGCCGTGGCATAGCTCACAGCAACCTCCAATTCCTGGGCTCAAGTGAGTCTCCTGCCTCCACCTCCCAAGTAGCTGGGACCACAGGCGCCTGCCACACTGCCTGGCTATTTTTTTTCGGTTGCAGCCATCATTGTTGTTTGGCGGGCTGGGCTGGATTCCAATGCGCCACCTTAGGTGTATGTGGCTGGCACCTTAGCCACTTGAGCCACAGGCACCACGCCGCAGATTTCTTTAAGTTAAAGACTTCTTTCACAGAATATAGCAATAATTGCTGAAGATAGCTCTCTTACAAAACCTCTTCTTACAAAAATACTTACTGGATTAAACCAGGTGAAATTGATTGTATTCAATTCTTTTTGATGTAGATAAAAGGCAGTTTTATCTGTCATAACAGAGCACTTGGGTAACAGATATACATATTTACATAATGGACAAGAGAACAAGCTGATATGACTGTGACTATCTTCCAATCTGACACAACATCAGACCTCAATCTTGGAATGAGTTTTATGGTACAAAATGGTGTTTCTCCTGCAGCTTGTTTTTTTGTTTGTTTGGTGTTGGGTTTTTTTTTTTTTTTTGAAGAGGGAATTCCTTTCCTCCAATCCATAGAAGGAAGTGAAAGTTCCAGTCTTCCTGTCAAGGGTAAAAATAGCCCTTTTCCTCATCTTCCTCTTTCCTATTTAGTGCCTCCTTTGGTGAAGGTGACTCATCGCATGACTTCTGCAGTGACCATTCTACAGTGTCAGGCTTTGAACTTCTATCCCCAGAACATCACCATGAAGTGGCTAAGAGACAAGCAACCACTGGATGCCAAGGAGGTTGAGTCTAAGGATGTGCTGCCCAATGGAGATGGGACCTACCAGAGCCGGGTAGCTTTGGCTGTGACTCCTGGGGAAGAGCAGAGATACACCTGCCAGGTGGAACACCCAGGCCTGGATCAGCCCCTCACTGCCACTTGGGGTATGTGACAGATGAGAGCCAAGAGCTGATAAAATCTGATGTGGGTAAAATGAGGGGTAGGGGAAGGATAGAAAGAAAGGGTTCTGGGTGATTCACATGATAGTGAGAGGAGGGTCTGCTCTTTGTTAGAGGTTGGGTTTGGGGGTGGCAGTCACAGGTTTTAACCTGTTTTCATTGTTTTAGAGCCCTTACCATCTGACACCCTGGTCATTGGAGTTATCAGTGGGATTGCTGTTTGCGTCATTATCTTCTTTACTGGAGTTTTGTTCAGAATCTTAAGGAAGAGGCACTCTTCAAGTGAGTGGGAACAAGGAGGAAGTCTCTTACTACCTCTACCCCCAGGACACAGTAGTCTTCCTTCAAATAAGTAGGGCAAAGTGAGGGTAGAGGGGATTTAACATCCTTGGGAAACTTTCTTCTCTTTTATTTTCCTTGGGGACATCAGTGCCTCCCTGGGAGCAGGAAAGGAATTAATGTTTTTTCCCATAATGTAAGTTCCTAATTCAACGAACATCTTTTGAGCTCCTACTATTTTCCAAGTACTGTTTAAAGTTGTACAGGGTGGCTGGGCAGGGTGGCTCACACCTGTAATCCTAGTACTCTGGGAGGCCAAGGTGGGTGAATTGTTTGAGCTCAGTCATTTGAGACCAGCCTGAGCAACAGCAAGATCACATCTCTACTAAAAATAAAAAAAAAACTAGCCAGATGTTGTGTGCAGCTACTTGGGAGCATGAGCAAGGTGGGACACAATCCTCTGTGGATGGTGAATGGGTTGTTGGAAGGTGAAATGGGAGGTGAGGAGACCATTAGCAAGCCAATAAGCAATTCCAGGTGAGAGATATATCCAGTAGTTCCCTGTGATGAGAGTGGTCAGTGTTGAGATGGGTGAATGAGGAAGGGTGAGGGACAGGGAAGAGGCACGATAATGGCTAGGTTTGTGATGCCTCTCTCCTGGGTCTCTTGTCTTCACAGGAGAAGCTATGGGGGACTACGTGTTAGCTGAAAGTGAATGATGCGCATCCTACAGACATCTTGTAGAGTGGAGACAGAACTAGAGACTCAAAGAGGGGCCATACTTGTGGAGCTCTTCATGTTCAGGACAGAGTTGGACCCAACAGACAGAAACTGCCTGAAGAACTCTCTGCTTCTAGCCTTCCCAATTTACTTTCTCAAAAAGATTTCCCCATTTAGGTTTTTGAGTTCCTGCATGCTAGTGACTGCAGCTGTGAGCTCGCCCCAGAGCTATTTCTCATGAATCTGGATCTAAAGGCTTCCTTCATTTCTCTGTCACCACAGAGACTATACATATATGTCACCTCATCTCCTAACTCTGGAAGAATGCTGCTTAAATCTGAGGACTCACAATTCATTTTAACATATAAAAACATGGGAGAAAGGCTTGTGAACTTCACCCTGGAACATGCACACTCAGATCCTTCAGTGAATTTTTCATACATATCCAGGCGTTTCCTGAAACCACTCAACTTTCCTTTGAATCCTTTCTCTCCGTTATCTAGTAACTCTGTCACCAAGCCCCAGGAATTCTTCCATATGAGTATGATCTGGGTCAATATACAACTGGGAAGACTGCACTGTGCAACTAGTTAGGCACCTTTCTCAGAACAGGCATCATGGATGTTTGTATCTATCTTAATGGAGTTTTTCCGCAGGCAAAACAAAAGTGTTCTGAAGGGTGCTGGGAAGAGGTATCTTTTCCTAATTTGCACAGAGGTGTCATACAGGTTTTTAAAGATTAATAGGGGGCGTCACTTGTGACTCAATGGGTAGGGCACCGCCCTGTATACCCAGGGTGGTGGATTCCAACCCAGCCAAACTAAACAACAGCAACAACAAAATAGCTGGACGTTGTGGAAGAAGGCTGCTTAAATCTGACTTAAGTCTGTAGTCCCAGCTACTCAGGAGGCTGAGAATCGCCTAAGCCCAGGAGTTGGAGGTTGCTGTGAGCTGTGACGCCAGGGCACTCTACCAAGGGTGATAAAGTGAGATTCTGTCTCTAAAAATAAATAAATAAATAAAAGATTAATGGGGCCTACATTAGCAATGCCTCTCTAGTATGCAAGACATAAAGTGCCACAGTAATTTTCTATCTGGTCTCTGCTGACCCTCTGTCTTTGTTCTGATAATGAAAATCATGATAAAAATGGTGGTAATAATGATAATGTGGCTAATACTTATTAAAAATAAAAGAACTTACCTGGTGCCAGACTCTGTTCTAGGTACCTACTTACATGCCCGATAGCATGGTAGGTATTGTTATGGCCAGTTTTTTCCTTTTCATGATAGAGAAACTGAAGTAAGAGTATCTCACAGCTTGTCAGGGATAGAGACAGGTTTCAAGTTCAGTCAGTCTTACTGTTTGATACATCTCACACCCCACTGCATTCAGGTGGTTTAAATGGGAGGAGTAAGCTTGAACCAAATGAAGGGGAACAGCAGAAAATGAGCTACTGATCCTCAGCTGATGTGTTTCCTTTCAAAGTTCCTGTGAGAAGGACTCAGAATGTGATTCCTTTTCTCCTCTGGTGCTCTCTCTGGCATCTCTCTTTTTGGCCCCCATACAAGGACTGTGTGGTTGGTGGGGACACTTCTGGCTGTACTCAGCTTCAGACATAGTGTCCTCCCTTCTGTAAGTGTTTCCTGGATAGTATTTCCTCAGTGAACTGGAGCAACCTCTCTCATTTTGAGATAGTTAAAATGGAAGTCACCAAATGGCTTGGAGGGTGCCCAAGCATCATCTTCCTGGGGTCATTGCAATTCTGGTTCATATCTCCACTTGTACACATACAAAAAAATTCACCTAAGCCAGCACTCAGTAATTGCTAGATACTGGGAAAGAGATCTGAGTATATTCAAAAGTCTGCATATATCCCAACCAGAATTTTTTGCCCATATCCAGGCATTTCCTGGACACTGGTATGCATACACATATCTCCAGATGGCATATATTTACTGTATGTTGGCTGAATAGCTGTGATATAAGCACTTTGTCTTATACTCAGGAGACCAAGTACAGTTCATAAATTTGTTTTGTAGGTATTGAATTTGAGTGAAGAAATCTCAACCTTTTTAAAAAATTCTTTTTTGGTTTTTCTGGTTGTGAATGTTATGTAGATAAGAGCAAAAGTAATTTGTGTTGAGTATAGAAGAGTTGAAAAATGTGTAAAAGTAAAGCTGTTAATTAGCCAGTGATAAGTCTGTTAACATCTTGGATATTACCTGTTAGTTATTGCTGCATTAAGATATATAAAGTTAACAAATAGATATATTTTAAAAAATGTATAATTGTGTTGTATGAAGGATAATGTCACTGATGTTCTCATCCATTTCCTTAAAGTATACATTTTAATCATATTTTGGGGATATTTGCATTGCTTCTAATATTTTTACATTTTGTCTTATGGAATATTTTCATTAAACTGGTGGTAGCTGAATTAAATCACTTTTCTTTACAGACGTTACCATCTAAGTTGCAAGATATTGGTTATTTTACCTCCAAACCATGCTGGGGACACACTAACAAGTTCTTCTTCTCTGCATATCATCCTATATTTAAATTGAACTGCCCAAAGTCGTCTTCTATCTCATGAAGGATATGTTACAATTAATTAGGTAACCGTTTGTTTTATATTGGTTTTCTTTCACATGGGCTGAGATTTCAAGAAACACCCTAGTCTTCACAGTAACATATTTACTAAACATTGGCATTTGTGGCCTCTTAAGTTTTGTTTAATAAAAGAAATTATAAATCACCATTTTCCTTCAGTGATTTTTTAGGTTAGCTCATCATACTTTAGCTTAATTTTTCTGGCTGTGTTCATCAATTCTTTAAGCATTTGAAATTTGAAATTCGACATTCGAAAATTCAAAGACCTGAATTTTACAACTCGGGAACAAAGCATGGTAATAAGGAAGAGGTGACACCTGGTGGCCATATGTGAATGCAGCACAGAGGTCATGTGACTAGAGAAAGCCAAGGCTGGCGGTTTTGCCAGGGTAAGGAGTTGCACAAGGATCATATACCATGAGACGCCTTGTAGATAAAACTTGCTGAACATTTGAGAAAACAAGCTAGAAACTGCTTACCAGCTATTTGAATCGCAGGCGACCGTTGAGCAGCCTGAACTGGGAACAGAACAAAAGGAAAACAAGTAACGTTGGTACTCTCAGTCAGATATAGTAGGTGATGAAGGCCTGCCAGAGGAACAGGACAAAATTCTTCTTTTTTTTCCTTTTTGAAACAAAATCTCCCTCTGTCTTCCTGGCTAGAGTGCAGGTGGCATCCTATGGCCTCCCAGAGTGCTGAGGTATGAGCCGCCATGTCAGGTCCAGAATTCTTGCTATGTTATAATTATGTCAACTTATGATGCTGTGTAGTATTATAAAACATTCTTTATGGATGCATACACATTTAAAAAGTAAGTTATTTTCTCTAAAATGCCCAAATTTCTCATGTACTATCATTTTTAAACTATTCTTTTTTTTTCTAACCACACTTTGATTTAATAATGGCTAGCAATCAAACATGGAGGGCTTTCAACATTAAAGATTTCATGTGTGGGCTGGTATTTGTAATCTTGATTCTCTTTGTAGATTTGGGTCATAATGTATTCTTTTTCCTTTTTGCATCTGTGATTAACTTCTGTACTCTAACTTGTGTAATAAAATGTTAATACAATATTAAAGTACTTTGTGCAACAATTTTATAGAAAGCCTGGGCTACCTTGACATCCTTATTACTTGGCATGACATGCATTTGGAATCTCGACCATTCTATTTCTGAGTAATCATTTAGGGGCTGGAAAAGATTTTTTTTTTTTGAATAGATGTTTTATACTTTTTATTTCTTGGCAGGATGAATTTGAATACTCAGTCTTCCTAGCCATAAATATTTTTCTAAAACTAATATTTTAGCTAATTATTACTAAATACTTACCAGATATTAGGTTCTATTATAAATATTAATTCCTCCAAAGAATCCTATAAGGTAGGAATTACTATTATTTTATTGTTATGAAAACCAAAGTATGGAAAGGTTAGTTAACTTGTCAGAGGTTTAACAGCTAGAAAATGGTCATGCTGGATTTTTATTCCAGCTATTTTTGCCCAGAGTTGCGTTCATAACCATTATTATATAATTGTATTTAGTTCAAGAATACATATAATATGGCATTGTTACCATGTTGTTGACATACTACTTAAAAATTATTTATTCTGGGGCCAGGGAACAGTGGTTCACACCTGCCCACTCTAGCATTCTGGGAGGCCAAGGTGGGCGGATTGCTTGAGCTCAGGAGTTCAAGACCAACCTTAAGCCAGAGCAAGACCTCATCTCTCAAAATAGCTGGCATTGTGGCAGGCATCTGTAGTCTCAGCTACTCAGGAGGCTGAGGCAAGAGGTTGCTGTGAGCTATGAAGAGATGGCACTCTACCAAGAGCGATAAAGTGAAACTTTCAAAACCAAAACTTTATTCTGCTGTCTAGTAGTATAAACCATGATGTTTTTGCAGCTCCCTATTATTTTTTCCTAAATAGTTTGAAACATTTTCTCATTTATGTTGTTAAATTATAGGATTGTCCAGTTCATATACAAATTTTTAAGTGTTGAATTTACATATCTATTCTCTTTATCCTTTATCATTCAAGGCGAAATTTGGGAGATGAGTAGTCTTGAAGCATCTGCAAATCATTTTATCCAGATTTGAGTACAAAATATTCTAGTTTTTTTTTTAATCAAATTCTGACTTTTGATTTGAAGCGTCTGTATGAATAGAACTTTGTAGTCTTCAATTCACTCTTTAGGGGGATAAGTACCAATATTTGTATAAATTTCAAAGCAAATTTTATTAGTTAACTTTAGTCTATAAGTTAACTAAACATCCTGGGTTTATTCCTTAAACCGAGTTACCACAATGACAATTTCATAAAACAATCAATAACCAACTTTCTTACTGCCAAAAAGTTTTACTATGTGTATGTGAACATCAGTTTTAATTTAATTTAATTTTTTGAGATAGAGTCTCACTCTGCCACCCTGGGTAGAGTGCAATGACTTTATACTTCACAGCCACTTCTCAAGTCATCCTCTTGCCTCAGCCTTTCTAGTAGCTAGGACTATAGGTGCTTGCCACAACATCCCATTAAGTTTCTTTTCTTTTCTTCTTCTTCTTCTTTTTTTTTTTTTTCCTTAAGACAAGTGTCTCACTCTGTGTCCAGGTAGATTGCTGTGTTATCCTAGCTCTTAGCGACCTCAAACTCTTGGGCTCAGGTAATCCCCTGGCCCCAGCCTCCCAAATAGTGGGAGGACAGGCCCTTGCTATAAAGCTGGGCTAGTTTTACTATTTTTAGTAGAAGCCCAGATACGTGTTTGGGTGGGTGGGGTGTCTAGCTTTTGCTCAGGTTAGCCTCTAAGTACTCAGCTCAGGTTATCCACCTGTCTTGGCCTCTAGAGTGCTAGGATTACAGGCATGAGCCACTGTGTCTGTCCAGGGAGCTTGCTTTAAATATGAGACTTTGTATAATTTTGGGTTCACAATTTCATCAATAAAACAAATGTAAAATACTTTCTTTATGATTTCTGGGTGCAGTTAAGAAAGCATTGAAAGGACTTTAGAAAATCAAATATAATTACCATCATGTTGATAAAAATTTTAAGCCAACTGTTTAAGAAAGGATAAAGTTAGAAATTCTCTGTCCAAATAACTTTTTTTAAAAAATAAGAATAGGTCAAAGTATATTAAGAGAGTTTATGGAGATTGCGCACACAAAGACAGCAACCCTTGGAAGTGCAAGTGAAAAAAACTTTTAGTAAAAGAGTTTAGACTGAAGAAGACAAAGTGGGAACATTTTCCTAGAAGAGTAAGGAGTGGAAGTAAGAAAAACATGCAGAGACATAGAATATGTGTTATGGAACCAAACATGTTCGAATGACAATGACAGTTCATTTCAGGAAAAATGAATAAGAAAATGAACATTCATAACGAGAGTATAGGTTAGGTTGCTGAAAATAAGTAATTTGGTGAAGCCTTAGATGGGAGTGAGATAAATCAGTCATTGGCTAAAAAAGCTGTTTGCCCAAGACCAGGAATGATGTCCCCAAATGCCTGGATATAATCCAGTCTAAGTTGAGTGATATTGTACTTATGCATTTTCTCAATTATAATATGTGTATAGCTCAAAAGTGTTTCTACTCTGGGATTTCTTTAATTTGTAGTAAAGCAGTTATACACTTAAAAATGATGGTGTATGCTGGACTGCTTATGGTTCTCAGTGCTGGCAAGGTATCAGAATTGTTTGTTAAATACAGGAGGCATATGCAGGTGTGTACTCACCCCCAAACACACCATATGCCATTCCTAAAATCTAGTATTTTAATAGAATTGGTCTATGAAGGGTGGTCCTGGGTATTTCATATTTTCATAAGACCTCTGATTAATATCATAGTTTTTTTTTTTTTTAACGTTTTCTGTGGCTTTTTTTTTTTTTTTTTTGAGACAGTCTCACTTTCTCACCATTGGAAGAGTGTGGGGGTATCATAACTCACAGCAACCTCCAACTCCTGGGCTCAAGCGAGTCTCCTGCCTCAGCCTCCCAAGTAGCTGGGCCCACAGGCACCCACCACAACGCCTGGCTATTTATTTATTTATTTTTTTGGTTGCAGCCATCATTGTTGTTTGGTAGGCCTGGGTTGGATTCGAACCCACCACCTTAGGTGTATGTGGCTGGCGGCTTAGCCATTTGAGCCACAGGTGCCGAGCCGTTTTCTGTGTCTTATTTGCCACAACTTTTTTCCAGAACTATTATCTGAAGGGTTTATCTAACATGTTGAATGAATGAGATTCACCTAGAAAATGAGAAGAGGTGAAAAGGAAAGAATAGGAAGCCATATAGATTCAGTGGTGAGCCAGTCTTCTCCCAAATCAGGTTAAGTAAAGCCTGTATTCTTCTCAGGGTGGAAGGATCAATTTTAACATATACATATATGTATATACCCTTAACATTTCTGCCTTGACATTCATTGTTTTTGAATCACTGGTCATTGAGAAAAATTAAAAAAGGAGATATTAAAAGGAAAAGGAATAAATTAAATGTCAAAAGTGACAGCAGTACTGGTGATATATGTATAATTGTAAGCATAGCTGCCTTCCTGAGGTTTTATTATTGATACAATAGGCAAAATAAGGGAAAGATATCCTAGGTTTTTTTTTTGTTTGTTTTTTTTTAAGACGGAGCCTCAAGCTATCCCCCTGGGTAGAGTGCCATGGCAGATGCTCACAGCAACCTCCAACTCCTGGGCTCAAGCGAGTCTCCTGCCTCAGGCTCCCAAGTAGCTGGGACTACAGGCGCCCGCCACAACGCCCAGCCATTTTTTGGTTACAGCCATCATTGTTGTTGGGCAGGCCCGGACTGGGGATTCGAACCCGCCACCTTAGGTGTATGTGGCTGGCGCCTTAGCCGCTTGAGCCACAGGTGCCAAGCCGATATCCTAAGTTTAAGTGAAGATTAATCTTGCTGGGATGTGTTTTAAGATACCTCACACCATTTATTTATTTATTTATTTTCACATCATTTATTTTTACATAACATTACGATATTGTATACACTATTTTTTTTTCATGAACCAAAAAGCATGTTGAGATTTCAGAGTTTCGTGTATGATCTCAATCCTTGCACTTTTTCTCTGTAATATTTGACATTCTTTTCTAAGTCCCCTTTTAATGAGGTGCAGGTTTGCAGCAGGGAATGGGTACTGAGAGTCAGGAACTTAAAATCTCTCAAATTGGGGGTCTTTTTTCTACCTCTCTGGGGCTCTTTTCTTATCATATGAGCAAGCCTGAAGTTATAATATGCTTTCTTTCACAGTCTCATTCTGAGTATCCACAATGTGCATTTATTTACAAACTAGGAAGGTGGTAGCTGTGGGTATGGTTTTTAGTTCCTTTACATTTTAAACAAGAGTGGTTTTTACCATGGATATTTACAACAGCTAAAGCAGAAAAGTAAGGAGAAAAATTCAAATTGAGAAGTCTCTCTTCAAACTACATTTAGATTCAATTCTACCGTTTTTATTTAAAAAAAAAAAAAACAGAATTAGCCTTGTTTTAACATCAATAATCTTATTAAAGGCTTCCCAGAAAAGGACCATAGAGGCTTTGAAATGACCTTAATCCAGTATTAGCCCTATACTTCAGTTAATCCCCAACTCTACAAAACATTATATTCTTGTCTCTAAAACTGGGGCAGATTGAAAGGGGATTGCTAAAGGAGGGAAGCACATCAGACAGGTGCAGCAAACCAGGAAGAGGATCCAGAGGCAACCATTATTCAAGCTTAGCTTTGTTTCTTGCTTCACTCACAGACTTATACAGGAAAAAGAGTCATTCATTAAAAATACTATTTGAATCGAAGCAGGGAAGAGGAAGAAGTTTGCTCTTACGATATCTCAATTTGCAATTGTTTTTCTATTGTATTCCTAGACATAGGACCATTAGGAACAGAGCTTCATGGTCAGGCTTATAGTTTGTCCAACAGAGGCGGCCATAAAAATGCATGGGGTTAAATAGGAACATTAAAAGGACTGGGAAAGAAAGTCCCTTAACCTATATATTTGTATCGTCCCCAGGAAACTACTTATTTTATTAATTACTAAGCGGAAATAAGAGAAATGTGGAATGTGGCTCTCTGCTCAGCGTCACTGAGCTGATAAAAACACAGTACTTTCAACTTGTAGATGAGAGAGGATGAAACAATTCCAGACAAAAGAGAAAGTAAGGCTTTGCAGCCGAACGAAATCTGTACCTTGCCTTCCAAAGTGAGGTTTTACTGGCCAATCAAAACATTGAAATGCTAATGACATTTACTTGCTCCACCCCCTTGGTTACTTAATTTGGAAAAGGCTCCGTAACGCGTCCTGGTTTCAATCAGGTCCGCCAGAGATATATTTAAGACGTGGAGTCCTGTCTGAGTTGTTACTGTGTCTGGAGCCATGTCTGGCCGTGGAAAAGGTGGGAAAGGATTAGGGAAGGGTGGCGCTAAACGCCACCGTAAAGTGCTGCGTGATAACATCCAGGGGATTACCAAGCCGGCAATTCGGCGTTTAGCCCGCCGTGGGGGTGTCAAGCGCATTTCTGGCCTTATCTACGAGGAGACTCGCGGTGTACTTAAGGTTTTTTTGGAGAACGTCATAAGAGATGCTGTCACCTATACAGAGCACGCTAAGCGCAAGACTGTTACGGCTATGGATGTAGTATATGCGCTTAAACGCCAGGGGCGCACCCTTTATGGCTTCGGAGGCTAAAATCGCAGAGTAAGCCTTCTAAAACCCTAACGGCCCTTTTTAGGGCCATCCATAAGTTCATACAAAGAGCTGCAATGCCTTGTGAGAGTTTAAGGTAGGGTAAAAAATGGCGGTGACTGCTTGTTTTGAGGATGTTCACACACCGGCATTTTGGTGCTTAGGTGCTTTCTTGTGTCAAAGAAATGGATGAAATCTATTGTCCTTCAAAAATGAGAGATCTGAACTGTAAAAGTGAACCTGAACAAATACGAATGAGACCGCAAAATTGTTCATTTTGTGTGTGAAAGCATTCCAAGAACTAGTTTGGACCAAAATGGATTCTTTGAGTCACGCATTGACCTTTTTGCTTACAGTATGCAGGCTATGTAGACGAAGCATGTTAGGGACAGTCTAATTGGTTTACAAGTACTTTAGCGGAGGGATTTTATTTTATTTCATTTTTTTTGAGGCAGACTGTGTCGCCTTCGGTAGAGTGCAGTGGGTTCACAGCTGACAGCAACCTCCAACTCTTGGGCATAGGCGATTCTCTTGAGTCAGTCTCCCAAGAAGTTGGGACTACAGGCGCCTGCCACAATGCCCCGGTATTTTTTGGTTATAGTCGTCATTGTCAGGCCCGGGGTGGATTTGAACCCACCATCTCCGGTGTATGTGGCTGGTGCCCTACTCGCTCAGCTACAGGCAGCGAACCGCGGATAAATTTATCATTACTCTTTTTGGCCCAAACCAAGGCTGACTCAATCTCCAGAAGTAGACATAAAACTGGCTAGTTCTTTGCTTTTAACCTGATGTATGCCAGGCACTGGAAGGTGCGAGGAGGAAAGGTACACAAAGCTCGATTTAATCTACAGGGCTTCCCAAAGTATTAGGAGACCGTCCAGCTGCTGGGCGAGGCCATTTGTTCAACCTCCTCTGTGGTGAGGGACTGGAGTCAGCCCACTTCTGGACATAGCAGTTTAGAAGGGTTCACTTATAGGTTAGGCAATTGAAACAATCTTCAGCATCGTCAGAACTCCAATCTCGTAGAGAAACAATGGGTATTAATAATATATTCAAGAAAGTAACAGGCTGTTTTCTATGTTAGGACATGGTTCAGTTTTTTTTTTTTTTAAGAGGCCCAGTTATACAAATGAGTCCAGGAAAGTTAGGTGCTATTGCACTATTTGCATGTTTGTATTCATGTACAAACTAATAGAGTGCATCGTTTTGCAATGGACTTTGTCCATAGTCACCCCAAACATTACAGCTCCAGATAGACTACCGTATGGTTTTAATGTTTATGGTGATTGTTAAAAATGCTAAATCATCAAATAATTTTGTTAAAGTTTAAGAGAGAGCAATTTTAGCTCAGACCCAACCCAGAGTTGCCTAATACATTTTTGTGCAAATTAAAGTTGAATTCATACCCTAACTGCAGCTTCAAACATGTCCATAAAGGTTTTGTTCTTAACATTTTTTTACATCATAGACTATAGACTCTTCTCATAAATAAAATACATAAATTCACAGGATTACAATCATATTAGAATAATAGCATTAAAATAGTAATTATCAAATCACTTTAAAACCATGACAGTGCTCTCACCAACCCAGGAATGGATTAACAAACTGTGGTATATGTATACCATGGAATACTATTTAGCCATTAACAGACAGGGAGACTTTACATTCTTTGTATTATCCTGGATTGAGCATCACAAGAATGGAATCTAGTGTACTCATATCTAATATGAAGGCAGATGACCTAATACATGGTGGGGGCTAGGGAAATTAAGGAGGAGGGGGGGAGGTTAGGGGGACACAGTATTTGACACATCCTTTGGGGGTGGGACACAATTATAAGAGAGACATTAACCTAACAAATGCAATCATTGTTTAACCTAATTCTTTGTACTCTTACTGAATCCCAAATAAAAAACATCACAATGCTATGTTTTTGTTAGCGTATAATGCATAAAAAAAGTATTTTGGAAATAGTGATTATAAACGCTATTTTAAAAGCCTGTAACTATACTGGAAATATTCATCAGTTCCACTTAAAGTTCTAAATTTCAGATAGAATGAAAAGGTAAGAAATTACCTAATTTAGGATGCCTTGATTACTACTTTTTGATCCTTTTAAAGTCCCTGTAGGTCAGCCTGAAAATCCGGTTATAATCATACTACACAAAGGGGCTTATTGGAATGCAGTAATGGTTTAAAAAGAAAACCCTCAGGCAGCTGAATTTCACTAACTCCTTAACACTGCTTATCTCCAGCACTTAGATGCAAGCCCTATTCTAGAGCACTATCTAGCTTTTCTGGATTAAACACCCAAGTATTTTAGAGCTTCCGTGAGGACACCTTCTGTGATTTTCCTCAGCTTGTTAATCATTAGGTTATTTACATCTAGAACCTTCCAGTGTTACGCCATTTTAAAAAATACTTGGGTGGCTCTTAAAAGAGCCTTTGGGTTATTTGGAAACTGGCCCGAAGAAGCTCTTCATTTCCTAGATGCTGCCTTTCTAGGGTTGGTTCTATGTGGAGTCAGTTTTGGCTTCCCAGCTTTAGGCTTCCCAGCTCTAGCCTTGGCTGGGCTCTTACGCGGCTGCTTGGTCTTCGCTCCTTTAGCTTTCCTCCCACTTTTCACAGCTTTTTTAGTTGCTGCTGCTGCCCTTGGCTTCTTAGCTCTCTTGTTGGTCTTGGCACTCCTTGGGGATTTCGAATCCCTGGATAAGACCAACTTCTTGGCCTTGTTAGAAGCTGGCCTTTTAACCTTGCCTTTGGTGGATTCAGAAGCAGGTTTCTTACTGAGCTTGAAAGACCCAGAAGCACCAGTACCTCTGGTCTGAACCAAAATTCCCTTGCTCACTAAGCTTTTGAGAGCTAACTTAATGCGGCTGTTGTTCTTTTCTACATCGTAGCCAGCAGCCGCCAGCGCCTTTTTAAGCGCAGCCAATGACATGCCTACTCGCTCTTGAGATTCAGAGACAGCATCAACGATCAACTTAGAGACAGAACGATTAGGAGCCTTGCGACCCGCACCTGACAGGCCAACTGGCTTCTTCCCTCTTCTTTTGACTGGAGGCTTCTCCATAACAGCTGGAACGGGATCCGCTGGGGCTACAGGAGCCGTTTCAGACATCCCAATACTATACAGAAAGAGGCAATCACCAGTGAGAAGCGTAAATTGCCGCTGGGCCTCAGGGCCTTATATAGGGCAGGGCGCGCTGTGATTGGTGCATTGCCTAGGCACCGCCCCCTGCCTTCAGAGGAGGAGCATTTGTGTTTGTTTTACCCTGAAAAACTGAATCCTGCAAAATTCCTCTGTACATAATCTCCCGGGTTCTACTGCTGAAAGATCCGTGGAGACTTAGATTTTGCTTGCCTTTTCCCTTTTTAATGAAAAATGACCCTGCATGCCAAAACTATTCCAAAAAACCCGTAATTTTCGGCCAAATTCAAGGGCAAGAACAAAACTTCCTCTTTTCTTCGTAAAACCAAAAGTAATTTTTTTGCACGACACTTATCTCATCTCTTCTGAGTGGTCTTCTAAATGGGTGGCTTCCAATTGGTGGCAAAAAAAATTATTCGCACTACAATTTTATTGAAAATGACTTACATATGTGAGGGAAGTAACACAGGTTGCTTACCTGTCTCACTGTGTAGTTACAAAGTATTTATATAATTGCCTAAAAACTGCAGAGGATGACCTCGTTTAGATAAATTCAATCTAATAAGCCAAACTTTACATGACACATGGGTTGTTTGTAATTAAAGCCACTTCTGAGTCTCTGTAGCTTTATAGAAGACTCTCAAGGATGGGGTAATTTTAAGGATCTTATACATGATACCATGCTAGGCCAAAACCAGGTCACCTTCTTGGCGACTAATGTCCTCCACTGAGTTTTGCTTCTGATTTCATTGATTTAACTCCCCTCCATCCGCCCTCAGTGAACTATAAAACTTGAGGCAGGAACCCTGGCTCAAAGAAGCCCGCGGAAACCATAGAACCTGATACCTAAGAAGAGTGGGCTGGTAGATTTGGCTGTAGAGTTGTGAGAAAAGGGTTGTTGGGCCCAATATGCTCCCCTGGGCTTCGACTGGCCTTTCTGAGAATCTGGAGTTAAAAGTTTGCTCATGGAGGCAAAAGTCTTTCTAGAGGATGCTGAGGAAGCACCACAGGGTGGCCAGAGCCTAGGGTCTCAGCAAGGGGAAATCCTTTCTCCATTTTGTGAAGATCCCCAAATACCTGTGAGAAATTTGGTTTTGTGTGAACCAGGGAGCCATTGGAAGTTTTTAATTTAGAAAGAAATTTTGTTGTATGGCTATTTTTGTAACTGACTTGGCTTTAGATTTATTGTATAAATAATCATTAGGGAGGGTGGTGCCTGTGGCTCAAAGGAGTAAGGTGCTGGCCCCATATGCTGGAGGTGGCAGTTCAAACCCAGCCCCGGCCAAAAAAAAAAAAAAAGAATAATCGTTAGGTAGAAGGGCCCTGTGTCAGAGGTTGGGAGTCTATTGTGGTAAGCTCAGATTAACAAAGCATTTGCCGTACAGGGAAAAGAAGAGAGTCTACATTTGAAATATTTCTGAAGCAAAAGCGAAAGAGCAATCCTGTAACTTCTGAGTGCAACGTGAAGTAGAAAAGGCTCTCTCTTCTGTCTCAGACATGTACACACTCAAACACACATGCCCAGACACATGAAACAAAAATTCAGAGAATACTACCTCAAGCACCTGTACTCAATAGTTGAACAAAAAAAAACTGTCAAAATAACTCAAAAATGAGGAAATCAGATGACCCAACTAAGGCTGATTTGTGAAATGTCTGTGAAGATGACTACTAACAAAATATAAAGGTCAAAAATAGTTCTGGGAACCAGGCGCAGTGGTTCACGCCTATAATCCCAGCACTCTGGAAGGCCGAGGCGGGCCCATTGCCTGAGCTCATGAGTTGGAGACCAGCCTAAGCCAGAGCAAGTCCCTGTCTCCGGGTGTTGTGGTGGGCACTTGTAGTCCCAGCTACTCGAGAGGCTGAGGCAAGAGAATTGCTTGGGCGCCCGAGTCTGGTTGCTGTGAGTTATGAGGCCAGGGGACTCTACCCACTCAAAAAATCAAAAAAATACAAAACAAAAAATAGTTTGCGGAAAACGAAGAAGTATATGAATAGGGAGTACTAGTTTTTAAAAAAATGGTCTAAAAATTAGTTATAAAGAAAATCCAAAAAGTAAGTGGAGTTTAAGTGAGGTGAGACACTGATACGCTCTTCAATGAACATAGTAAAAATGATGCCTTAATTTTATTCACACACATAGAAAGAAAAATGAAAATGAAATGAATACGAAAATATTGCAAGAAATTACTGGAATATAAAATTAATATTAAAATAGGCTGTATACTTTTCATATCACCAGAGATATAAATTTATTTATTTAAAAAAAACAGTTCCTTTTCTTTATGACAGCTTCCATTGATTTACAACATAGAAATTACAGATGTCAGGCCAGGCAGTGGCTCACGCCTGTAATCCCAGCATTTGGGAGGCTGAGGTGGGTGAATTACCTGAGCTCACCAGTTCGAGACCAACCTGAGCAAGAGTGAGACCCCTGACTCTAAAAAACAGCCAGGAGCTTTGGCGGGTGCCTGTAATCCCAGCTACCTGGGAGGCTGAGGTAAGATAATCACCTGAACCCAAAAGTTTGAGATTGTTGTGAGATAAGATGCCATGGTACTCTACCAAGAGTGACCAAGTGAGACTCCGTCTCAAAAAAAAAAAAAGAGAGAGAGAGAGATATGAATGTTTATGGGAGTATTATTTCAATAATGAAAATCAGCAGGCTGAATTTGCCACAATAGAATTTTTGTAAGTAAAACTTTTTATGTATAAAGATAACTTGTATTTTACAAATAAAAACATGTATTGGTCCACAAAAAAAAAAAAAAAAAAGCTGGGTGGTGCCTGTGGCTCAAGGAGTAGGGTGCAGGCCCCATTTACGGGAGGTGGTAGGTTCAAACCCAACCCCAGCCAAAAACTGCAACAACAACAAAAATAGCCAGGCGTCATGGCAGGCACCTTTAATTTCAGTTACCTGGGAGGCTGAGGCAAGAGAATCACTTAAGCCCGAGTTGGAGGTTGCTGTGAGCTGTGTAACGGCCATAGCACTCTACCAAGGGCAACAGAGTGAGACTCTGTCTGAAAAAAAAAAAAAAGTTATTTAACAATGTTATCATCAGTGCTGATGTATTAAGTGAAAGTGCAAAAAAAGACCCAAATATATGTAATGTTTGTAGCTACGGAGGCCCAAAAGTGAGAGGAGGAGAGGCATAGCCTTTTGTGGGTAGACTTCTGAACTTAAATTCTTTTTTTTTTAAAGTTTTTGGCTGGGGCTGGGTTTGAACCCGCCACCTCCGGCATAAGGGACTGGTGCCCTACCCTTTTGAGCCACAGGCGCTGCCCCCTGAACTTAAATTCTAGTTCTTCTGCACGCTTGCTCTAAGATCTTGAGCAAGTCACATGACATTCTTGTGCCTCAGTTTCTTCATCTACAAAATAAATTTCTACATTTTGGGAGGAGAAAAAGAATAGAACAATGGCACAAGGCAAGCACTGTACTATATACATATGGAAGTGTGTGTGTGTGTGTGTACATGTTGTTGTTGTTTTTTTAATAGTAATGTTTTAGCTATCTAATGCAAAATAGGAATCATGGTTCTTTTTCTGGCTCTTAAATCATGGAATCTAATAATCATCTAAATTCTCCAGTTCTGTGTTAGCAGAAGATATGTTTGGTAAACTTGTAAATATAAAGATCAACCTGACCTATAACCTGCAACTTCCATTTAATGATACAAACACTTAGGGATTACCAAGTCAGAGAAACCAAGAAGGCATAAAAATATAGAGTTCTGGGAAAGATTTGTACCTATAATCTCTATTAGGAGAAATACTAATATTTTCCAAACTGAGGGTGACAGTGCCTTAGTATGCTGTAAAGTCAATATCATAATTTAAAACCTTGACTGTGAGGATATTTTTCTCAGGAGACTTAAGAAAGCAGTGACACATAACAACAAATGTGATACTGGTAATGATTACTTTGATAAATATGATGTATTCTTTGATGATTCCCTTAGATATTTTGTTAAAGTAAAAATCACCTTTTATTGTTTAAACATGTCACATTGTTAGAGCAAAGATTACTTTAATGTTTCTGTCAGATAAAGTTAGATAAAATTTTCTAGGTTTGTTTCCTGGTATTCCCGTTATAAAAATTATTAGAATTGTAACTGAGGCAGAATTGTCTTTGAGAGACAACTCTCACTATCCTCCAGATTGTTGGCCTTCTGACAAAGTTTGGTGGACCTAATCCCCATCTCTGCATCTGGCTGACAGTGACAAGTGGCTAGACCCTCTTTGTCCCATAACAATTTAGAAAAATAAAATTTCTTTCTGGCTAATCCTCTGTAAATCCCTTGTATGAAATGTGGCCCAATACTGCTATACAAAACATGGGTTAGTGGTTGGTACCTCTCCATGAGCATGTTGACTTCATGAGGCTACAATTTTTGTGCGTCATGTACATAGCTCAATTCTCCCCTAACAGTAGTTGGAACATAGGAAGATTCAGTTGTACAGATCCATTGAATAAACAGATGCATGATCAATCTAATTTATAGGTATACCTCATATCTTTCCATTTTTAAGAAAGTAAAAATCTTATAGCACATATCCTCTAGGTTTTTGCCCTCAGACATCACTCTAGAACCAATCTAAAGTCTACTAGCACTGTGTGAACACCTGTTTCACTACATATATAAACGTCTCCAAGATCACAAGAAAATGATTAATCTTTATATCACCATCAGTTAGACAGGTAAACAGATTTGTACATAATTTGCATTTTGTTTCATAAGGTTCAACATGGGTGAGCTGTCAGAGTATTTATTCAAGATTGGGCATTTGTCTCCCAGTAAGATATCTTGTTCTAATGCTGGCTCTAGAGACATTTGGCTCTTGACTCTGAATCTGTTGTCTATATGTGAAATGGAGGAGCCTTGGCCTTGGAACAAAGAGAACTAGGTTAACTTCCCACCTCATCTGTTTCTGGCTTTTGTGAAGTAGAACAAGTTGAACTTTATCTAGTCTTAGTTTTCTAGTCTGTAAGTTACAGCAATGATACTGTCTTAGATTGCTTGGGCTGCTATAACAAATTATCCTGACTGTGTGGTTTAAGCAACAAAAATTTACTTCCTTGCAGTTGTGAAGGCTAGAAGTGTTAAGATCAGGGTATATAGTATGGCTGGGTTCTGATGAGGGCTCTCTTCCTGGCATGTAGGCTGCTGCCTTCTCACTGTGGGCTCACATGGTTTTTCCTCAGTGTGTGTGTGCAGAGAGATTTCTCTCTTCTCTCTTCATCTAAAGCCACCAATCCTATCTGATTAGAATCTCACCTTTGTGACCTCATTTAACCTTAATTACCTCTTATAAGTCCTATCTCCAGATAAAGCCACATTGGGGTTTAGGGCTTCAACATCTGAATTTAGGTGGGGGGGACACAATTTAATCTATATCACACACTTTCTCCAAGAGTACTTAGGAAGTTTTTAAAAAACAAAGTAGGTAAAAGTAGTTTCAGTTATCAATACATGCAATCAAATGCTGTTTATTATTCTGACATAGTCCTGGTCAGAGGAAGCACTTGCTAAATTATTATTTTGGGGGGGCTTTAACCTAAGATCCTACTTATTGATCTTTATACATTTCCTTCTCATGGAATAACTGCAAATAAGTACATTTTGCAACACAGTTTACTTCTTATAGGTCCTAGCTAATAAAATAATGGGAAAAAAATGACCCTTGTTAATAATGAAGGACATTTAATTTCAGTTTTCTTTCTGGTAGGAGAGGCAGTTAGTTTGACAATGCTTCAAAAAAAATGTTTTATAAGTATTAGTACTATAAATCAGGAGTTTCAATGTTATGTTGGGATTATACAATGGCATAGTTCTGAATGGCAATTTGGCAGTTTATATGTTAAGGTCCTTAGAAAATGCTTTTCTTTTCTGATTTAGTATTTTCTACTTTCAGAAGTCTATCCTAAGGAAATAATCAAATATTTGAACAAAAATTTATGTATAAAAACGTGTGATCTATATAACTTACAATGCATAAAAAAGAGAGTAAGTTGAAATAGCCAATAACAGAGTGTCACATAAGCATTACATTACTAAATAAAAAATTATAAGTACATAAAAATGTTTCTAACTATCTTTTGTTGCCTAAAATACACAGATTTGTTTTATATGATGTATTCATACATATAGCATACACATTCATATATACATATATTTTACATACATATAAAAAGAATAGGAGATACTATTTGAGGTTTAATTTTTTTTCTTTATACATTTCTCTTTCCTACAAATTTCTACCATGAACATTTAATATTTTCATACTTGGGGGGAAAGTTCTAATGTTTTACCCAGGTGCTTGTTGGTCCTTCCTTGATTGTTCAAATACCTTAATTTATGTTCTAGTATCACTCATATTCATTGGTTTGTGAGATAAATTAGTGTCCAGCAGTGATTAGTTGCAAAAACCACATGTCTAAAGTCTGTTGTCGCTTCCTGTAAAAAAAAAGAAAAATTGATTAATTCACTTCTGTAATTCATTAGATACCTGATATACTCAACTCTGAAAATAACAATAATGATGGTGGTCTCCTCCATGCCAGGCAGTGTTCTAAGCACTTTATAGATGTCAATGGATTTCGTCATTGCAATAACCTTCTGAAGTACCTGCTGTCATTCTCCCTGCCTTACAGATGATGAAATTAAGGCACGAAGAGGAGTTTTCCAGTTAGCATGGCATCTCCAGTAAACCCACACCCTCTAGCACTTGAATCAGTGTATGTTCTAAAATACAGGATAAATGTGACCTAGTCAGTGTCCTAGAAGTTCCATTTGATTTAAGCCTCGAAGGATAGGAATTTGTTAGGTGAAAAAAAGGACTTTCGTAAAGGAGACACAACACAGCAACAAAGCCAGGTGATAAGGATTGTCCAAGATGGTACATCTGCTTGGTGGTGAGCCCTACAGAGCTGCCTGTGAAGGATATAGAAGGTCCATACATGATAACAGGTTGAAGAGTTTATATTTGTTATTTCCATATGGGGGAATTACAAGTTTCCAGAAGCTTCCCTTCTCATTAGTTCATCTCTCTGGGTTGCTGGCACTGGAAGTCACCCTTATGTCCCAAACCCCCACCTTCCTTTAAAACAAGAGAAGCCAAAACAAATGTACCTAATGGAAAAACACCCAAATAAATGATTAGTCTGCTTCTTGGGGTGTTATAAAATACATTTTCTTCCTCCTCTTAATAAAGGCAAAACTTATGTTCTCCATTTGCCCAAATCCAGGGCAGAGAAATGAATGGTTTGCTTAATAGGGCTGACACATTAGTCCGGCAGGTGGATATGGGTTTCTGTGACATGTATTCACACATTTGGCTAATCTGAGGGTTTATAATTATGACTCAAGCTGGACATATCTAACACTCAGCTGTCACTTCATTTTACAAAGTTAGAGGTTTTTGCTATATCTTTTGTATGCACTTGAAAAACAGTAGTCAAAGTCATGTTTAGGTTGTTTTTAAAAAACAGCTCCCTAGAAGCAAAGCAAAGTAGACAGGGTGCAGAGGTGGTAGAGGGGTTAGAGGGGATGGGGGAGGCAGTCCTCTCTGTTTAGCAGATGAGGGGCATAGTGTCCTCCACAAACCTTTAACCATCTCTGCTGACTCAAAGCGTATGATGTTCCAAAGTTATATTTCATAGACTCATGGTTGGTTCAAATACAGTAGTCTTAACAACTAACTGCAAGTGCCACATGCCACATGTTCTCCTAAGCACTACTGAAAGGCACCAATTTAATGACGGTGCTGAAGGCAAGCACAGCTCTTCCTCCATGTGCTCACACTCACCTTATACCTACCCGCACAAGCTCACATTCCTAATGAAGGCAGTGACAATGGTTCTAGAGGAGAAAGGACAGTCATTCAAAATAATTCAAAGGTAGAACCAATGGGGTCTTGATTTCTCCTCTTTTATTCACTACTGGGGTTCATCCCTGCAGGGTTTCTCATGTGCTTTATTATTCTGTTAAATAGCTTAGAACAATGTGTAGCGCATACAAAGTGCCAGCTACTATTGTTATATTGTTTATATTAATGCTAATATGAATATTATCATGTTTGCTAGTATGCCTAATCCACCTTTCCTGCTTTCCCTTTTTCCTCTTTCTAGCACTTTCCATTTATCATATTCTATATACATAATTACTTATAATAACTACTGCTTTCTGTCTTACTTTCCCAGCTGAGATGTTAAACTCCATGAGGGTGGGGGCTTTGTCCCTTTCTAAGGAGACATGCACTGAAGATGGATGGCTCCTCTCTTCTGAAGGAACAAGAGCCAGATGATGGTCTTTCAGGGGAAGAGAGAAGAAACTTTTCCTTAGATCATTGTAAGTCTCATCCACATTCTCTGTGCTAAATCTTGTCACTAGATCATGACAAGCCATTGTGAGGCCTTTAAAAAGGGACAGAAAGGTAAGAAGAGGAAAAAGGAAAAACATGAGAGAGGAACTGAATAGGATGGCAGACAGAATTTGCAGCTAGTTAATTCACACATCAAAGCTTATTTGTTTTTCTGTGTGGGCAGATAGCCAGTCTGTGTTTCACAGCTTCCCTGGCAAGTAAGTGGGGCTGAGACCATTTTCTGGCTAAAGGGTGGGCATAAGTGATGGGTACCACTTCTAGGCCTTATTTATGAAAATCTCTCTCACAGAAGCATTTTTCTTGGCTCCTCAGTCTATGGTCTGATGTTCAGGTTCCAACAGAGATCTTTTGAGATCCAAGGATGCTGAAGATACAGATAGAAGGAGACTTGGTCCCTGGAAGACTATGGAAGTAAGCATTATATAATGGAGTAATAAATTTTTATTGTGTTTAGAACTCAGTTTTGGGGTCTGTTTAATACAACAGCCAAGTGTTATTTACTTTGTGTTTTGTAACAAAGATGAGGTTTCTTGCTATGTTGCCCAAGTTGGACTCAAATCCCTGGCCCCAAGGGATCTTCCTGTTTCAGCTTCCCTAGTAGCTGGGACCATGACACTTGTCATCATTCCCTGCTTACTTACCTTGTTTTGATCTGACGTTTACCCATTGAAACAAGCTCTACATGGCCACTCATAATAGCACAGATCCCACATCCTATCTTGCTCTGGCCTTAATCTCAGAGCTGAATTTCTGTTCTGTGATTAACATACATTATCCTGTAGCAAACCTGAATATCTCAAAACTTTTGCTACTCTAGCTGGGTATTGGGGTATCATACTTAGCATTTCATTTATTGGCTCATCATTGCAATTCTCCCACCCTGTGTAGTCCTCATCTCCTTAATTCTGCTGTTTTTCTTTTCTCTCCACATCACCTTGTATCAGACCAAATGTTTTGCTTATTTATTATGTTTTCCTGTCTAATGCTACTAGAGTCCTAGCTTTCTTGAGGGCAGGGATTTTGTGATCATTTTCACTGACATATGTACATATAGAACAGTGTTTAACACACACACATAGTAGTCATTCAAATAATTTATGAAATGAGTTGATAAACTCAATCATTTTTGTGTGCCAATAATACAAAATTGTGGCTCAGTGGTAGTCTCTCATGAAGCCAGAAAAGTGAAGTCTGAGAAACTAAGCTGAAGCTGTACAGTGAATCTAGTCCACAGAGTTCATCTTCTTCCTCACACATCTTTCCCCAGAGATTAACTAGTTAAGGTTTCTCCATGATTGTGAAGACGTTTCTCTCAGGACCCTTAAGGAAGTAGTCACACACATAGATAGTAGGTTTTGTGATATTGGTACAGTAAATGTACTTACTTTCATGATAAGATGTTTTCTTTAATGATTCTCTCAGATACTTTGTTAAAGTGAAAATTACTTTTCTGTTTTTTAAACATTTTGCATTGTTAGAGCAAAGACTACTTTGATGTTGTTTCTGTCAGATAAAGTTAAAATTTCCTAGGTTTGTTTCCTGGTGTTTCCATTATAAAAACTATTAGAATTGTTTTTAGAACTGAGGCAGAATAGTCTTTGAGAGACTACCCTCACTTATTGTCCAGAATTGCTGGCCTTCTGATAATAAGGCTTGTTGGATCTAATCACCATCTCTGCATTTGCTTGAGTTACAGGTGATGGGATCCTTTTTGTTTGGTAACTCTAGGGATATTGCGGTGACCACATCTGAGATCAGAAACTCTTGAAAGTAACAACTAGACAGGTAATGACAATCGAAGGCAGGTAATGATTACACAGAGCAGTTGGGAGAAGGTGGTCAGAGGCACCTCTTGGACAAGGCAATACTCATGCTAATGCCTGCAGAATTAGTAGAAGTTTGTGTGGAAGGAAAGAGAAAAATGTATACAACTATCAAAAAATATGTGAAAAGCAAGAAATCAGCAAAAGCCGTCAGTGTGTATTATCTTGCTGTACACAGCATAACAGAGAAACATAGGAGACTCCAAAGAATGGGCAGGGGAAAAACCTATAAAGCCACGATTCAGGTGTTTGGAGTATCCTAAAGGCAAGATTAAGCTCTTTTAGGCCCTTTCCAGACAACTGAAAACAAGCAGAAAGGGGGCCCCACTGCCCCTTCTCCTCTTTTCTAGCAAATTATAATTCCCAATCCACTTAGCCTTATTTTTTGTCTAGAATTTACTGAGCCAAGTTCAGTTTTTGATTCTTAGAGCTTAGAACCCTGAGTATTGTCTAATCAAGGAGTCCATTCACCTGTCACCCAAGCCAACCAATGGAGAAGTGGATGAAAGAACAAGTTGCACTTTTATTTACAGAAAAGCCAGCAATTTCAGAGAGCAGTGGGAATATTCTGCCAAAGAACCAGTCTGCCCTCCTCTTTCTTTACTTTTATCCTCACAGTAAAAGTAAACATCAGCAATGTTATTAATCATCATGGTATACATTAAATAGATTCTTTCTCATAGGTCACACGGGTACACAATAGCCTCTATTTTAAAGTGGTTATATCTTCAAAGCATTTTTACTCTAGACTAAATTTAGTCAACATTTGCCTGGATGCATAGAGTGGCATGGGTTCTTGACCAGTACCATAGAGTCCAGGCAGTAGGCCTTGGAAGAGAATAAACAGACAATCTTCAGATGTTGCAGGTAGGCTCATCTGATCTTGTTAGGGCCTCACCAGCAGCATGCTGCTTGAAATGACCATTCAGAGTGACAGTGGTTGCTAACAGGAGCCCTCTCTCACTCTACAAGTGGCCTACTAGGCATCTTTGAAAGACCCTTGAAGCTAGTAGGTTTTTTTTCCATTCAAAATCTCAGAACCTGGATTGTCTCTGTAGAACTCTTAAATATACAGTTCTATTTTTTGACAAAAAAAAATAGAACTTCTACTTCTTTCTATTCTTTTTTTCCTTCTATTTCTTTTTTTAGAAATATATTTCAGTGCATTTAAGCCTACATCTGTATTTTTTTTTAATCTAGTACTCAAAGTCCATCATTCCAATTATTTAAGCAAGTCCAACAATAAAATGGGCAGAGATAATTTGGGGGTATAAAATGCATATTAATAAATCTTAATAATTCATTATTTTTAATTAGGATAGGTAAAAAAAGTAAAAAAATTGGTTATTAAAATATGAACCTCAGGGGTGGTGCTATAGCTCAAAGGGGTAGGGCTCCAGCCCCATATGCTAAAGGTGGCAGGTTCAAACCCAGCCCTGGCCAAAAAAAAGATATGAACATCAATCATGGATATATAAAATACACACAAAAATAAGCAAAAGACTGCAGTCTCATTTTAGAATGATAATATATTAATTTGAATTTACTACATTAACAAATGCTGAAAATTTTCTTAAGAAATAAAGACTAAACCCAGCCATTATCTTGGAGGCTTATAGCACCCAGTAGACTCAGAGCTGTCTGGATTAACAAAAGCTCTTAAACTAAACAGCAGGCAACTGTGTTAACTCAGGCACAAAGAAAAAGGGCAGCAGTCACACAGAACCTGCCTTGTCCTCTGGGCTCGCACATAAACATTACATAACCCTTTTACAAATCCAAACTTGCAAAAGGTAGAATATCTACTGTCATTTTCCTAAGGCAACCATATGTTCTCTAACCTGTTAACCAATGGATCTAAACTGCGTACAAATGTTACTGGCAAAATAAATAAATAAATAAATAAATAAATTGTTTTTAGTAGTTTGTGGAAGGAGCAGCCTCACAAAAATTACAAAACTACCAGGAAAATACCTAATTCTGAAATTTGCTAGTAACAGTTGAAGACCAATTGTATAAATTCTCTTGCTGGGCACCCTATGGATTTCTGTTTTCACAAACTACTGAAGAGCCCAGGAAACCAAAAGGAAATTCACCAGCTGAGTTTGTCTTTCAGAATTTGTTCCTTCAGCCTCCATTAATTCCTGAGTGTCCCTGACAAACAATGGTGTATGAACATCACTCTTGGAAACACCAGAAAAATATCTGTCTTCAGCGTTGCAAGAGGAAAATACAGATACAACATTCACATTCAAAGTACCTTGTGAATTTAGCCCAATTACCCTTTTCTCTTCATCCCTTTTAAATTCACCTAGTCACTTGACTGCAAAAGGGGCATTCTTTCTTTCTTTGTGATGCCATGCCAACTTTCTGCTCTTTTCTAAGTCTCTTTTTCCCCCACTCTCACTTCCCCTCTCTTTCTAAAAGAGAAAATAAACTTTTTACTTTTATATCCTAATGTTGGTGCAGAGAAATTCTTTCCTCATCCCCTGCAGTGCACCTACTGAGCTTTCTACCCTAACAATTTTGTTTTTCTTTTCTCAGATTTAGAAATTGTTCGGTATCCAAGATTAAACATTATTTTATTCAATTTAATATTTATCGAAAATCTTAAAGCTATCATTGTGAGTTCAGTATTTAAGCTGAAAGACATATTGAGTCCTTATAATTTGTAACACTATGAAAATTCAAATTTTTAAAATGACACATATTATGATTTAATTTAGTTCAGTGTGTAATTTACAATTTTAAAATTATAAATAAAGTGATGTTAATTCATCTAATCAATAAACCTAATGGAAGAAATTTAGTCAACTCAATAGGTTGTTTTTACTTTAAACTCAGACACATGTAAACTAGACTATTAAACTAACATTCTTACATTATAATCATAAAAAACACAGAACTATTTTGAAAATTAAGCCAAGGAATTTGTCCAAAAAGTAATCTTTATTAGAAATATTATATGATCTTTCCCCTAAAACTTATATGCCAGGTTAATTAAAATTTTTTAAGTTTATTGAAAAATAGTGTAGTACTTCTGTTTTGTTTTTTCTTATATTTTACTCTGTTAACTAAGACCACCAATTAACTAACCATTAAACTTTCTTTGAAGAGTTAAGAAACAGGCCAGGCACAATGGCTCATTGCAGTAATCCTAGCACTCTGGAAGAAAATTCTAGTTTAATGGCTTACGGTAATTCGTTACAGTTTAGAAAAGTCTTTGTTTATTAAGTCTTTGTTTTATATGGATATTAGAAGCACATTTTTTCCTGACTCAAAAGTCCAATTTATACTAACATGTTTCTTTTCTCTTTTCTAACTTTAATGAGCTTGAAGGGACAATAATTTGGAATTACTGAATTGTATACACTATAGCCTTTGCCATAGTAGTTAAGACACATTTTAGTTTCTTTCATTTATATCTTATTCTAAATCTCCTGTTAGTCCGAACACTTTCTTAAAGTTACCACAGACAATCACTTTATATTATCTTTGACACAGAAATGCTATTTTGCAGGGTGGTGCCTGTAGCTCAAGCAGTTAAGGCACCAGCCACATACATCAGAGCTGGTGGGTTCAAATCAAGTTGAGGCCTGCCAATGACAATTACAACCAAAAAATAGTCCAGCATTGCTGCTGGCATCTGTAGTCCCAGCTACTTGGGAGGCTGAGGTAAGATAATCGCTTAAGCCCAAGAGTTGGAGGTTGCTGTGACCTGTGACGCCATAGCACTCTATGCAGGAACATAGCTTGAGGCTCTGTCTCAAAAAAAAGAAAATAAAAAAAACAGAAATGCTATTTTGCAGATATTGACAGTTATCTGGATTCACAATAAAACAATATGAACAAAAGTTTTGGAAGGAAGAAAGAGGCATACAAACACCAAACAGTGGATCTCATCAAAGGTCATAGAGAAAAACAACAAATCTCTTACCCTGCGTTCTCACATACAGAAATTATCAACATCCTTAAACACAAAACAAGGTCCCAAAAGGTTAACTAACGAACCAGATTCCCTGTCCTTTCCACTGAGTAATCACTTAATGATGTGATCATAAAACTGTAACTAAACTTCCACTACTGCTACCAAGTATGTGCCAATCAACCAAGAGCAACCAGAATAACTAAGACAAGAAACAAATTTGGGAAATAAAATTTTAGCATCCAAAAACAAGGGGAAGATGGACAGAAAACTCAAAGGGTCCATGGCTTGACAACCTGCATTTTCAGGCCACACATTTCTGTTGGTTCTTACTTGCAGGGCTCAGGTAAACAATGTCTTGGTGGAATCCTCCAGAAATAAATGATCAAGGAGCTAATGACCAGCCCACTGTTTACTTGTATACAAGAAAGAACAAGCAATAGATTTCATCCAACACAGGTAATAACAGAATTTATATATAAGAGAAAGGGGAAGGTAAAAAGCAAAAAACCTTGCAATTGACCTGGAAACCATGAATCTTATTTGCAGTTTCTGGTTAAACTGATCAGTTGGCAGTTAGAACTGGACATAAGCCTTGAGCAAGGCCAATAGAGGCATAGACAAAATTAATTCAATTGTGAGACATGCTGGACGTCTTGACTTTGGCTGTGAAGCATGGGCAACAACAGTCTGCAAACGTTTGTGCTACCATTTTAATTAGTTCAGTGCTGCACTATTCTCATCAGACTTTTAAGTCATTCAGGTAAGGTAGCCAGTGATAGCAGAGCTGTGTTCTATTGGAGGCTTACTTCTCTGCCACCAAAGACAGTTAGTTTATTATACTTTCCAAATGTTAAAACTGCAGCGTTAAGAAAAGAGGGTCTTTATGTTAAGCAACTTTACAACCTAAATCACATAGTATTTACCAAAATTGTAACAAGAAAAAAAAAAAACAACCTCTTCTTTGCAAGGTAAATTTTAATTTTTCTTGTATTTCCCATTTTTAACAAAGAAAGCAAATTTGACTCCTAATTGCTGAAAATGTATTCTAGACTTGAACAGAGAAAGGCAAAGTGTTTCTATCCTTTCGTCTTAACAACTTCGCCTTGAGCAAAGATCAACAGTAAAGAGCGGAAAGGAAGGTGGCATCTCCCAGCCCATAAAGTGGCCTCCATTTGTCTGGGAAGGGAAGGTTCTCTAAGGAGATAAAGCATGCCAAGTTAATAGCTCCTTCCTCTCACCCACTTGGAGTCGAGTACTTACTTCAGTGTTGGAAACGTGCCAATTTATCCAGCACTTTGAGCTGCCCTCTCCTAAGTGAGAGCTTTTCAACAATCTCCGAATATTACAAGCCAGCTACAGAGCTTTTAAGATTCAATACTCAGAGAACCGACCAATTTTGGCAGAGGCTGAACACAGGGATTCAAGAAAAGCGTCGGTTTGAATCTAAGTAGATAAACCACATAAGGGCCAAGTGTTCACATCAAGATTAACTCTGTACACCTTCAGTCCAGCTAACAAAACTTTCCGTAAGGAAAAAATTAACAGGGTACTTGGCAAATTCGGGAGGTGCAACCTTGGTATACAAAGGTGTGCCCCGTAAGAACAAAGAATAGCGTTATCATTATATAAGGAAAAAAGTTCCTTCCCGGGTTCTCACTCCGGTCCGCTATGTAAATGAGTCACCAATATCACTCCCTCCCAGCCGGGGGAGGGGTAAGCAGTTTAACAGCTATGAGCGAGTAAGGTTGCGGAGCCTGTGGTTTCTCGTGGGAAGATGTACGTGAGCGGTATCTAGTCAGTAAATGGCCGCTTGGCTCCATTTTGTATTTCGGGTCTTGGTCTCAGGATCCCCTTAGTAACTACTTTCCGGGGCTCACAGCCACGTAGTAAATTACGATGGTTACTCCTGCCCCCTACCAAAACCCAATTAAATTTAACGTGATTACAGCTCTCTTTGTGGACATGGGGGTGGCTCTTAAAAGAGCCTTTGGAAAAAGGGGAAGGACGCTTACTTGTCAAGTTTACTTGGAACTGGTGTACTTGGTGACAGCCTTTGTGCCCTCGGACACTGCGTGCTTGGCCAGTTCCCCAGGCAACAGCAGGCGGACGGCAGTCTGGATCTCTCTGGAGGTGATGGTGGAGCGCTTGTTGTAATGCGCCAGGCGAGAGGCCTCACCCGCAATGCGCTCGAAGATATCGTTGACGAAGGAATTCATAATTCCCATAGCCTTGGATGAGATGCCGGTGTCAGGGTGGACCTGCTTCAACACCTTGTACACATAAACGGAGTAGCTCTCCTTGCGGCTACGCTTGCGCTTCTTTCCATCTTTCTTCTGTGCCTTAGTCACAGCCTTCTTAGAGCCTTTCTTCGGGGCAGGAGCGGACTTAGCCGGCTCTGGCATTTTGAAGTCTTAAAATACCAGGAAAGTGAGCAAAGCGCGCTGACTTCTGCTACTTATAGGGCCTTTATGCTAATGAGGTTTTCCAAGGCCGCCTTAGTTAATTGGAAGACAAATAGGGGAGTAGTCTTCCAGGGGCCGAACTATGCAAATGAAGTATGGAAATACAGCTTTTCTATTGGCTACTTGGCCGACTCTTTCAACCAGCCAATCAGATAGTCGGAGTTACTCCGAGGAAATAGCTATAAAAGCAGCCATGTTTTACATAGTTCCTGACCTTATTTGTACCTGTGTGAGCTTGCGGTTTTTATCTTGCATTTTGTTTGTTCGCGATGTCCGGACGCGGGAAGCAGGGAGGTAAAGCTCGCGCTAAAGCTAAGTCTCGTTCTTCTCGTGCAGGCCTACAATTCCCGGTGGGTCGTGTCCACCGCCTCCTCCGCAAGGGCAACTATGCGGAACGTGTTGGGGCTGGCGCACCAGTTTACTTGGCGGCGGTGCTGGAGTACCTGACCGCTGAGATCCTGGAGCTGGCTGGCAACGCTGCTCGTGACAACAAGAAGACGCGTATTATCCCGCGCCACCTGCAGTTGGCCATCCGCAATGACGAAGAGCTCAACAAGCTTCTTGGCCGTGTGACAATTGCACAGGGCGGTGTCCTGCCCAACATCCAGGCAGTATTGCTGCCGAAAAAGACCGAGAGCCACCATAAGGCCAAGGGCAAGTGATTTGACAAGGCATCTGAGCTTCCGGAAAGGCTACCAAACCCAAAGGCTCTTTTAAGAGCCCCCCCCCCCACCCTTTCAAGGAAGAGCTAAACTTACTGTTTCAGATAAAAGGAAAATTGTTGAGGTAAGTTAGTTGTACCCACTGTTTAGGGTAACCAGTTATGATCCTGCTTTGGGATTTGGGGGATAGCTGGAATGCTAGGAAACTGCTTTACTTTTAAGAAATAGTTAAAGATCTACCGTTCGCACGTACTTCATGATACAGTCGCGAAATAGTCTAGACAGGTTTTTTGCTAGGTTGAGTGGTTGACTGTTAAGTTAACCCCTCGTGGTTAAATGCAGAGATGTTCTGTGGTCTGAAACCTTCGTTCTTACTCCTTTAAAAACTGTGCAGGAGTTCTCGAAAGCCAACTATAGGTAATAGTTCTTCCCTGTCCTCGGACTAGACCCTCTTGGATTTTTCCTCGTTTTAGGCTGTAGGTGCCTTTTCTAGTTCTGTTAAGTTCCAGGGTCTACTTGTTCATGTCGAAGTACGGTCTGAAGCTTAAATAGGACTTTGAAAGGCTCTAAAATTGATTACCCGGAGTTGGCATGTAGTAATCTTAGACTGCATGTAGATTCGAATAGAACGTTTTTCTCCATTTACCAGTTATATAGTTCAACAGTTTTCTAACCTTTGAAACGCAATCTTAATCTGTAAATGGAATGTAGATTGTGCCCAACAACCCAATGCCTTAAACGTAGAAGACTTAACATTCAGCGAACTGGGTTGAATACCGCAATTGCTTTGAGACTTGACCTTAAGTTCCCAGTGCAGCCAGAAAAGCAGGTAGAGTGGGGCTACTAAAACCTTTGGTGGTAGATGTCTGGAAACAGCTGTTTCAAGCACAAGAGGAGGTGATAGGGGACTATGCAAAAATTATAGGGCCTTGTTTTTCTGGGTTCTTTGAGTCTCAACAAGTTTTTCTTCTGGATAGCTCGGTTTGTGCATTGTTCGGAAGGAGTGGGCAGGGAAGCCTGTAGGGGTTAAGGCTTGCCAATGCCTCACCATCCAGCTGGTCAGATTAACCAAGCAGATACAGCCACTTAGTCAAATGCTCCAGGAGCTCCACTGAAGCGGTTTGCGTGGAATCGTTTGGTTTCCAGCATTCATATCCGAGTAATATGCTGAGGGGGGGGGGGAGGGGGTTGTGTGTGCATATGTGGCGTTTTTGTTTGTTTAAATCCTAGAAGCTGCAGCTTGCTGAACTTCCTGCTTTCCAGATACTGACGCCAGTTTGGGACCGGTCCAGACTCTTACCCCACTCCTCCCTCTCTCTACCTGCTTCCACTGCAATCATTCTCAAAGGAAAAGGATCAGGTATCTGGGGCTTAGGGTGAAGAAAAAGTGGCAGAAAAAAACAGGTGACTATCTTGATGACCACACAGAATTTCCCAAGGAGTTTTTAAAGTTACAACGATTCTAACTGGCAACTGTACTGAGAATCATCAAACCTGGGCAGCTCTTTCTCAGAGAAGCCTGTCTAAAGTAAATCCATCTAGATCTATTAAAGATGTGTTAAAGATTTAGGCCAGCCATGAAAATAGTGACTAATTCTCACATAAATTGGATTTAATTTTGACCAAAGTACATTACTTAAACATTAATTTTTAATCAACTTGTTAATGTTGTTTAGGATATTGCATCCTCATTTATAAATGAAATATGTTTGTAATTTCCCCTTTATAATAATATATTTTCTCCAATTTTAATATAAGGTGTATCCAGCTTAAGTAGAATGATTTTGAAGTATTTCTTCCTTTTCTATTGTCTGTAAGATTTAGCATGATCTGTTTTTGAAATTATTGTTTACTTTTATAAATATTAGTTGTCTATTTTTTGAGACTTTGGAAAAAAAAATAAGTTAACTGATGACTCCATACTAAACCTCAGAGTCAAAGCATTCTATAATAGACATACTCTTATTTGACAATGTGAATGCTACTTTCTTTGCATTACTATTATTATTGCTTAATATTTTGATGTAGCAATCATCTGATTTCTTTTTTTTCCTTTTATTTATTTATTTTTTATTAAATCATAGTTGTGTACATTAATACTACCCTGGGGTACCATCATCTGATTTCTTACCTGTATTTATCTTCATTTGTTCTTTATGAGGTTTTTGTTCCTAGTCCTTATCTTAACATTGTTATTGTTACTAAATTTTAAGCCTTTTTAATTTTGTGAAGGCAAAAATTGGAAACCCAATGAACACATGTATATGTAAAAAAAAGGAAAAAAGATCTGGGCCAGGCATGGTATAATCCTGGCACTCTAGGAGGCCAGTGAGGGTGGATTGCTTGAACTCAGGAGTTGAGAGACCAGCCTGAGCAAGACGAGAGACCATGTCTCAAAAAATAGCTGGGCATTGTGGCTGGTGACTATAGTGCCAGCTACTCCAAAGGCTGAGGTAAGAGAATTACTTGAGCCCAACAGTTTGAGGTTACTGTGAGCTGTGAAGCCACAGCACTCTACCAAGAGTAACAACATGAGACTCTGTCTCAAAAAAAAAAAAAATGTATTAAAGATCTAAAATATGAAACACAAATATTAGAAGACATTTTAGAAGACTCTTTGCAAACCTTGTCTATGTGTGTTATAGAAGGAAACACAAAAGCCATATAACAAAGGACACAGATCACATAGGTCCAAAAGAGGTTTAAGACATAATGCACACAAATAAAGTAGTAAAAAATGACCAGTGAATTGAGATAAAAGATTTGCAAACATAAACAGGGCTAATTACCTCAATTTACAAAGAAGAACTTCAAGCTTTAGGGAAAAGGCAAACAACATATAAAATATGAGTAAACAGGGTATTTCATATCTTTTATTAAATTTAAATGGCCAATACATATGAAAAACAAAAAGTTATTGGTCTTCCTAGTACTTATGTGTATTAGTGCAACAAAGGAATACCTTTGCTTACCTATAAATAGACAACCACTAAAACCAGTAATATTCAGGAGTGCTGCAGATGAAGAATTGCCAGTGTCAAACAGTGTTTGAGAATTTGTCCTGGCAATACCTATTAAACTTTTTAAATAGATACTTGGGAAGGGGAAATGCCTACCATTTAGAATAAAGACCCCGGAGGGAGAAGGGAGGGGGGAATGGGTGGAGGGAGGGTGATTGGAGGGATCACTTCTATGGTTTATCTTACAAGGGTACAAGTGAATCTTTCTAAGAGTAGAATATGATTGTCTTAACACAATAACTAAGAAAATGACATGAAGGCTATGTTAACCAGTTTGATGAAAATATTTCAAATTGTACATAAAAACAGCACACTATACCCCAGAATAGCATTAATGAACATAGTTATAATTTTATAAAAAAGAAAAGAAATAAAGACCCTACTATGTAAGGGTATAGATATAAGGACTCCTTTTCTTTTTCTTTCTTTTTTTTTTTTTTTTTTTGAGATAGAGTCTCATTATGTCCCCCTTGGTAGAGTGCGGTGGCATCACAGCTCACAGCAACCTCAAACTCTTGGGCTTAAGCAATTCTCTTGCCTCAGCCTCCCAAGTAGCTGGGACTACAGGAGCCCGCCACAATGCCCGGCTATTTTTTGGTTGCAGTTGTCATTTGGCAGGCCCAGGCTGGGTTCGAACCTGCCAGCTCCAGTGTATGTGGCTGGTGCCCTAGCAGCTGAGCTACAAGCGCCGAGCCAGGACTCCTTTCAACACTGTAATAAGAAAAAAAATCTGATTGTATCTGTAAACCACCTAAATAAACATTCACTTAAAAAAAAGAAAAAATATTAAATAAATGTAGATTTAAACAAACAGTGGATCATCCATTTATTCTGTGGAATAAGATGCAGCTACCAAAAACAATGACACAATGGAACAGTCACGTATACTACTGATGTGAGTAAATGGATACACAGAAAGTTGTAGAAGAAAACCCAACATGTTAATTATCTCAGGGAAGTGAAATTAGAATTGGATGAAGAGAGATGAACTTTTATAAACATCTATGTGTGAAATGATAAAATAAGCATATATTAACTTTGTTACCTGCAGTATGAAAGAAAAAAAAGTTAGCTCCCATTCTCCATTCCACACCGAAGTTACCATTTTATCAGTCATCCTGTTTAGATTCTTTAAAGGTCTAAGATTTTATTTAACAAACCCTTTGTTGTCTGCTTATCTCCATTACTCTCTGCTCCTTTAAGATCTGGCCTGTCTATTCACTGCTGTGTCTGGTAGAAGTGAAGTTTTGGCCCAGAAAGATTTTTCAGTGCTCAGTACATCATTATCTGAATTTCTGTCTGCAAATGTTTAGCCACAAACTCCACTGTTAATACATTACCTACTCACCCTACCCAGCTATGAGGAAAACAATGAAACTTTGAAGTATACCTCATTTATTTTTCACATTCTCCAGGTTTCTGCACTAACTTCTCCAGTGTGCCTCTTAGTGTGTCATGATAACCCTCAGTTGCCCCGGTAGCCATTAATTCTTTTGAGGGCCTGTTCTTTGCTAGCTGTTATCATGCATAAAATAATCCTCTTTCACTCTGGGTCTGTGGTTAATAGATAATTACTTAAAGTCATGGAGAGAAAAGGGTCACATAGCTGGTATGTGTGTGACCAAATCTATGCTGTTTCGTTCACCTAACAACTCTGCAATCAGTAATAGAACTCACTGGCTATTTTTTTTTTTTTTGAAACAAATGACAAATTCTATTACATGAGTTAATTTGTATGTCCAAGCACAAGGATAATGAAATATATTTTCCATTCAAAATATTATATACATTAAATAACATGATATTGGTAACAATATAGTGTAGGTTTCCTGGGAAGCAGACTCTGTGATAGAAATGTACATGCAGGAAGTGTATTTATTGGACAGTGCTATCTACATGAAGACCAGTGAGAGTGGAAGGATGAAGCAGGATAAACAGAGCAAGAAGTTGAACTCTATCAAAGTCCCAACAAATGTCTCAGTTGTGTCCCTTGCGGAACCTCTGAAGTTGGGAAAGCCCTTTAAAGATGTCTTGAATTGAGGCAATGGCCAGTCTTTGGATATCTGCTGCCCCACAAACATGAATCATGAATGAGACAACTCTCTTTAACCAGGGGCAATAACCAGCGGCAATTACCAGAGAAGAACTCAGCAAAGAGCAGCCAACTACCCATAGTCCTAGTAGCTGAGGGAAGGAATGCTGCAGTCTGTAAAGAGTTGGGGGATTTGTGAGAATCTGGGAAGCACATCATAGCA